CCAGACAGGCCTGAGCCTTGGGCCAGGAGAACTGGCCCAAATCCCAGCCCCACACTGACAACTGGAAAGCCCTTTGAGTCCCTGAGCCTCAGTTTTCCCAACTGTCAAATGGGAACAACCTCACAGGTTATGGAGGAAGCTGAAAGGAGGAAAAGGATGGGAGGTTCATTTCGTCAAGCAGTTCCAGTGTTAGGGGTGAGGCAGGGAAAGCACACAAGCTTGAGGCTCAGGAAGAGTTGGGTGTAAATCCCAGCTTTGCTACTTACTACTATGTTATCCCCTTGCAGTTCCTTTACCTCCCTGCACCTCACTTGCAAAGCAGGGTGATAATCACTCCTGGCAGGGTGGCTGTGAGGACTCGGTGAGTCACACAGGCCAGGCCTGCATGGAACAGAGCGCTTGTAAATGTTTGTTTCTGCTTTTCACCCTATGCCTCTCTTAGGGTAGATCTCCTCTCTGCCTTGCAGACTGGACACTCACCTCCTCCTCTGTGCAATGGAGGGGCTGAGGCTGCCATCACTGTTAGGGGCCTTAGAGATGCCAGTACCAACCCCTCACAAACCACAAAGCAGCACCCGTAATTCCTAAAGGCTGAACAACCCTGGTGACTGAAGGGGGCCATGAGACATGTCACCCTTCAGTCAGCAGGGTTGTGTTGGTGGGCACCCAGGGAAGCCCACCCTGGTCACTGGCTTGGCGGCTTGACTTGGCCTCTCCTTCTGGGGTTTGGCCCAAGCACTGTGGGCTGGGTTGAGAGGCAATGAAGAAAAGATGACCCAGGTCCTGGAGCCATCCTGCTGACACACTGGGCAGGAAGAGCAGGGCAGGCCATTAGGATGGGAAGGTAGGGATGCTGGGGTGTGTGGAGAGGGGCCAGAAGAAGTCAGTGCCTGGTAGGAGCCCCCCACATGCTCACCCTGCGAAGGAGAGAACAGTTCCTGGACACAGAAAGCTGCCAAGAAACATCCTCCCTGGGCTATGCTAATGCTGAATCTGGTTTTCCATCTAAGCCAACCTGGCTCAAGCTGCTTAAGTAGGAGCCATGGGCATGGCAGGTGGGGGCCAACAGGAGGAAGCTGTCACCTTGTGAGGTGGCCCAGAAGCAAGAGAATGCTCCTCCCAGCCCTCAGACTTGCCTCTGCATCCTTGATGAATGTTCCTGTGTTGTGAAGGGCCCAAGCTGGGATCAGGTTTTAAAGTCCCATATCAAGCCCCCACACCACCCACCTACCCACCTACCCAATCTTTCTAACCCTTCAATCTAGTCAAAGTGCTCTGCTCACACCCCTCCTTTGGTCTGGCTCCACAGAATGAAGCCCAAGTGTTTTGTAGGATTACAAGGCTCCCTCAGATCTGGTCCAGTCAACCCCTCCAGCCTCATCTCCTACTCCTCCCCTGCCTGCATCCCTCTTCCCACCACATCAGGGTGTGCATGGTTCCCATTGCCAGGCCTCTGCCCAGGCTGCAGCCTCTGCCTGAGGGCCTTCTCCTTCCTCTTTGTTGGGCAGAATCATACTCATCATCTCAGGTTCAGCAGCAGCATATCTCCTCCTGAACTTCTCAATTACCACTCCCTCTTTGCTGCTCCCACAGCACTTTGTCTGTGACCCCATTTTACTCATTCTCTGGTCAGTCCATTGTTGACTGAGTCACAAATCCAAGCCAGGCCTACACTGGGGCACAGAGTGATGAGGTTCCTGACCTTCCTGGGAAGGCTCTTGGCCCAGCAGAGAGGCAGACACTGCAGACAGTGACAGCACAAAGGGAAAGACTGAACACAGCACAGCCTTCCACATTTCCTTGTACCACAGCCCGGCTGTCTTGCTGCAACCATTGGCTTTGGGACACTGTCTCTTCGTCAAGGCTCCTCAAAGACAAGGACTATGTCTGATTACTCTCTGTGTCCCAAAGAGAGCTTGGCCCAGGAAGGTGCACAGGAAAAATGTCCTGAAGTAGATGAATTTGGGATCTGAATGTTTCAAAGGGGACTTGGTCTTGATCCAAAGTCCTGCCATCACAGAGAATATTTTATTTTCCTAGCATAGTGGTGACACTCTTTCACATGTTGTGATTTCATTTGATCCTCAAATAAGTGCAGTCAACAAGATAGAAACTGTCACCTCCATGTTATGATAAATCACAGAGAAAAAAATGTGAAAAAAAAAAAAAAGAAACTGTCACCTCCATTTTATGATGCAGAAGCTGAAATCTATTAGGGGATGGTGACTTGCCCAAGGACATGCTTTAAGTCAGCAGGACAGGAAAGGCCAAAATGTAGGCCTCTTGACTCCCAGCCCAAGCTCTGCCCCTTAGATCATACTATGAGGGGAGTGGCTGGGCCATATGTTCTAGCCTCACCCAGGAGACCTTTCTGGAGCAGGAACAAGCTACACACTGACCTGGAGTCCTTCCAGGCCAGCAGAAGTCTCACCTCCAAGGGGACCCAAAACACCTCTGGGGAGAGGATTGAAGAATTTATGGCATCTTCAGCATTCCCCTTGCTGCATTGCTCTTTCCCCAGAAATACAGCACACCTGTTCCAATCTCCCAGACTTTGCACATACCAGACCCCCACGGCCCTGACAAACCTGGAAGCTGCTAGCTTTCCCTCAGTTTCCTAAAAGGCACCAAGCTCTTTTCAGCATCAGAGCCTAACCACATGCTGGTCCCTCTGCCTGGAATGCTTTTTACTCTTGGTCAACTCATGCCTCAGGGTTCAACTTTTTCTTAAGGAGGTTTACTCCTGTGGCCTTGAGTGGCTTGAACAAATGGCAGTATTTCTAGGTTCTATCTGTGGCATTTGTCACCTGCTGCCCCGGCACTGTGACTTCTGACACCCTCCTCCCAAGAAGAGATGGTAAAGACCTTAACAGCAGAGACTCTCCTGCCTCTTACGCTGTGAACTCACATGAACCTAGCTTGCTCAAGATGTCCCAAAGGATCCATCTTTTCACTGACATGTATGCTGCCCCTACCCCTTCCCTCACCCTCCACATCCAATAAGTCATTCCACCACCTTACCTGCACTTTTCTCAGACCAGGCCTTCCCTCTATCCCTCCACCACCACCTTAGCTCAGGGATCATTCTCTCTCACCTGGGTCCCTCCCGCAGCCTCTTTAAGGCCTCCTGGCCTCCAGCCTCTCCGCACACTACCGCTGGAGGATTCTTAAAAACGTATGTGACAACCATCATTTTCCTACTACAAGCTAGGCCCCATAGCCCCACCCCTACCCTGATGTCTCAAGAGGGCTTCATCAAATCTAGCCCCTGCCTCACTCTCCACAGCTGCCAGGGCTCCAGCCACTCCAGGTGCCCTAACCCTATCCCAAACATGCCGCCTTTTCTAAGACTTTATGCCTGGCCTCTGCTTTGCCCCCCAAACCTTCATCTACAAAACTACTCATCAGAGGGCAATGAAAATAATTTTGAAATACTTTCTACGTGCCTGGCACTATGCTAGGCTTTTTTTTTTTTAATGCTTTACCTCATTTAGTTCTCAAACCACCTCACAAAATATGTGTTGTTCTTCCCTCTGTACAGATACGGAAACTGGGATTCAAGAAAGGGAGGGCCTGAACTGGGCTGAATCTACCTGATTCTAGCGCCGCAGCCCACTAACCTCTCTGGGAAGTGCACCGAGCCCCCAGCCCAAAGCAGGAACCTCTCTTCTTGGGTCTATAGCCAGAAGCTTCTCTCTTGTCCCTGCATTGCTGTCAGCATCTGTGATTGTCTCTCACCAACAACGTAGGCATCCCCAGGGCAGGGCCTGGGCTGACTAGGCTGGGTCCCGAGCACTCAGCAGTGTATAGATGCTCTGTGAGGTTTCTAGAGAAACAGGCGGAAATGTAGAGGCAGCCCGGCGGGGTTCAGGAGTCCATCCCTACCTAACTAATCCCGATACAACCACCAACCAGATAGGGGACCTCAGCATCTGTACCCAAGGCGAGGCCCTGCCAAAAGGAAAACACAAACCCCGCCCGCCCCCTCCTGGCCTGCACGTGCCCGGCCTCCCGGCCCACGTTCCTCCCGGCGGGCCGCACCAACCTCCGCGGGGTAGCGGCGAGGGGCGGGCGGAAGGAGCTGCAAGCATAACCCGGCCGCCCCTTGAAAGGAGAACTCCTTTCCGCTCGCCGCCCACCCGCGCGGAGCAGGCGCCCCGGCGTCGCCCACCCGCCCCGCGCGGAACCCAGCCCTGCGGAGCGGAGCCCCGCGCTCCCCCGCCCCCACCGAGGTGGTGCGGCCGCGGTTGGAACGGCCGGCCCCGCCCCTGCCGCGTCGGCCCCGCCCCCCTTGTGAGATTACAAAGTGCCGCGCTCCAAGCGGCAGCGCAGTGGCGGTGGCTGTGGCCAAGGCTTCTCTTTTGGTGGCTGTTGTTCGGGGCC